GATACAGGTCCGTCATATTTCACACCTGTGGCGGGGTTGCGCCGCAAAATCTCCATAGCACGTGGATTGATGTGGCCGAGGCGCCGGTGCCAGAGGTCGGCGCTCACGCTCATCGCCACTGAGCATGTCGCGCGCGGAGTGCGATCGATCTGTACCGCTTCTGGTTTTCCGAACTTCGGCTTGCGCCCTGGTTCTTGGTTGTTCGGGGGTGTCTTGCTTGTCGACGCTGGATCGCCCTTGAATGTGATGGCGAGGGTGCACATGCCTTGGTCTTGAGTCTCTTGTTTCAGAGGAACGACGACTCCGCCGATGGTGAGGTGTGGGGTCTTGTCTTCCAGGACACTTCGGAGGCCCTTCTTGAGAAGGGCCGTTGGTGCGAAGATGTTCCGGCCTAGTCCTGGCACGATGAGACCTTGTAGCTTGACGGGTAGTTGCTGTTTTTTGTCGTCTTTGAAGGTGCAGTGTAGGATCCCAGTGGTAGTGCCTCGTAGTCGGCTTTCTCCTGCAACGTCGATGATCTTGGGCGTCGGGCGTTCTTCTTCGAGACGTCCATTCGGGATGAGGCGGTTGTCGAACATGGTCTCAGAAGCTCCAGAATCCACCAGCGCGGAAGTCCCAGTTGCAGTTGTCGTGAAAGTGCGTCCGCTTCCCTTGCTGCATGTAGCATGGTACATGAATCCACCCTTGAATGCATCTTCGTCGTAAGAGAAGTCGATCTCTGCCTTCTCGGTCTTCTCTGTTTCTTTGGGAATTTCTGTTGTGGTAGGCTTGGCGTGTATGTCTCTTGACTGGGTTGAGCAGTGCACGCAGTGTGTGCATGCAGAAAAGGCCTTGCCCGTGCGTTCTGGTCGCTTGGCTCCTTGGTTGTAACACTCTTCGTCGGAGTGTGTAGTGGTGTTGTGGACGGCTCACCACTTGGTTGCTCCCGCAGGCTTCGTCTTCTCTGCCATACGGCCCTCCCGCTGGCGATTGGAACAGTTCCTCCTGACATGCCCCGGTTCGTTGCACTCGAAGCAGATGGGGCCAGATGTCTTGGTAGCCATGGCGAATCCGCGGCCAGCGATTTGGCCCTTGGTTCTCTTGCGCATTTGCTCGTCAAGGAAGATGTTGCGCATGGTGGCTTGCATCTGTTGTACGTCGAATGATGGGTCGCGGAAAACCATCATCTTGATGTCCTTGTAGTCCTCGGAGAAACCTTGCACACAGATGTCCTTGAAGCGGCGATCGGAGATGGTTTCCCCCATTTTCTCTAGTTGAGAGCGGAGGCGGTGTTTCTTGTTGAAAAAATCGTCCGGGTTCTCTCCTGGCTCCATGACCGTCCTTTCCAGGTCGTCCAGTTTAGCCCTGATCACTTCATCTGTCACTCGATTGTAGTTGGCCTTCAGTTCCGCGAATGCTGCCTGCCCGTCGCCGCTAAGGCCGGTGTCGTCTTCGTGCTTGTGTACGGTTAGTGCAGCCGGCAGTTCGACGAGGCAGAATAGGATTGCGTAGAGGTCTTCGTTTGCTCTCTCGTATGCGGCGAAGGTGGTGTCCGAGGGATCAGGCCTGCGCATTCCCTTGAGAAGTGGCATGATGTCCCTCCGAGTAACGCCGACGACTACACCCAATTTCTTCATCCAGTCGTTGAAGTCCTCTGGTTTCGTTCCATCGAACTTGGGGAGTCCTCTGATGACGTTGGCCAGGTTTGTGGATCCATCACTCCAGATGCTGCCTCCGCCTCCAGTTTCCGATTTTGCTTCCATTTCTGGTTTTATCCTGATGATCTCGTCTTGAATATTTTTGTTGGTGTAGACTATTACTCAGCTATTGGTCGCTGAGATTTTCCCAGCCCCGCTCCTTCTATTGATATAGAGGACTGACTCCGGTTGCCGATTGGTGACCCCGCTTCTGAAACCCTTTTCTCACCTAGATAGAGAATTGGTGAATAGAACTCCGGTTGTAGGCCAATTTGCGACCCCGCTCCTGATACCCTTTCCTCACTTAGGGAATCGGTGAATAGGACTACGGTTCCCGGTCGACTTTCGCTGTTGATACAGTCTTCCCTCCTGCCTCCGCCGCAGAAGTATTTGCTCAATGTCTAAATCGAGGCTTCCCGCGCAACACTTTGCTGTTTGTTCACCACAGAGGTACCCACTACTGCTGTTGCAGCAGTGATAACGTGTGTGTATAATGAACTCTCAGCCCCTTGGTGTAGATGACCAAGTAGTGCGCTCACTTTCGTTTCCGCTGACCGTTGATGATCTCCCAAATCTCCGAATCCAGATTTCCGCTCGAAGTCCACAGACGGATGTTGTAGTCCACAGCAGAAGGATGTTTTGACCTCCGTCGTGACGTCCGCGGTTCCTAGTGTTCGCGTAAAGCGAGCTAATAACCTCACAAAATGTAGCGTCCTGCAGCAGCGGAGGTGGCGGTGCTGCTGTAGCTCGTAGACTTTGTAGTCTACCACAGAGGTTACACTGCTGTCACCGCTCTATCACAGAGG